GATGTGATGCAGAAAGACAGGCCCAGCCAATGTTGCCAAAGCTTCTGATCTCTCAAGAGAAGGCGGAAAAAACCACCGGCAACACAGAACCTTCCAATTTTAAGAAATATCCATTTAAAAGGGAAAAACGCATGTAGGCCTAATAAAGCCCTGGGAGAATACACAGGGCTGTGCACCTGTGCCATTCCCTGCTGTATCCCAGCACCCAGAACAGTGTCCCGCCCAGTACAGAGGCTTCATGAAGCTTTGAGGACTCAGCATGGGCCACGTCCCACCTCGGCCTCAGACACCTGGCAAACTCCCAGGTGCCAGGCTGCTGTTGTCCCACTCCCTGCAGACAAGACTGTGTGGTGTTAGAGCATGGGGGTGGGGGTGGGGGAATGAGATCCCTTACTAGGGATCTGTCCTGCAAACCAGGGGAGAGGTGTGACTTACTTGGGGGCTGTTTCAAGTTGTTGTACTCAACAAGGAAGAGCTCATGACCACAGGCATCCTCACAGCCTCTTTATTCCGCCCCCCATATTCAGTGGTCGGTAAAGATCTTTACAGTAAATACATGGAAAGGGGGAGGGGGCTCTAATCAACAGGACTGCTCCCTCCTTTGGAGAAACGGACTAACCCTGAGGCCTGGCAGGGTCAGCCCACCCCTAGAGGGCTCTGGGAAGGACTTGGCTACTGTTCCAACCTTCACGAAACAGAGTGTTCATAACTGATAAGCTTAAAAGCAAGTGACAATTTTTCAACCCACCCTTGCTCCAAGGACAGTGAATAAACACAGCATTGGCTCCAGGTTCCTACAGAGTGTGTCGAGAAGGAAAGGGGAAGGTGAAACCAAGCTCACCCGCCCCCAGAAGTCAATGTGGATTCTTTGACACCTTCTTCTTCAGGGTCAAACTAGGGTTCCCCACTTAGAAATGCCAACTCACAGGGGCCCCTGGGTGGCTCAGTCGGTTAAGTGTCTGACTCTTGATCTGGGCTCAGGTCTCGATCTCAGGGTTGTGAGTTCAAGCCCCGCATTGGGCTCCACGCTGGGCATGGAGGCTACTTTAAAAAAAAAAAGGGGGGGGGCACCTGGGTGGCTCAGTGGGTTAAAGCCTCTCTCTTCAGCTCAGGTCATGATCCCAAGGTCCTGGGATTGAGCCCCACATCGGGCTCTCTGCTCAGCAGGGAGCCTGCTTCCCCATCTCTCTCTGCCTGCCTCTATGCCTACTTGTGATCTGTCTGTAAAATAAACAAAATCTTAAAAAAAAAAAAAAAAGAAAGAAAGAAAAGAAAAGAAATCCCAACTCATAAACTCCCAAATATACTCTTCCCTTTATTACGGGTTCCAAGGTGCCCCCGGGTCCCCCACTTACCAGGCAATGGGTCTGCCTCCACAGTAATTTTAACTGGACTGTGACTGGACTGTGGGGAAGGAAGGAGAAGCCTGCTGGGGTGCAGGAAAGTTCTATGTCTTGATGTGGACAGTATCTACACAGCTGGATACATATGTGGAAATCCACTGAGCTGTGCCCTGAGATTTGTTGTACTTCCACGCCTTCATGAGAACAGCAGCAGCGTGTATGGGGAACTTCTCTGAAGCCAGGCACTGCGTGAGTGCTTATCCTGGGTTCCAAATAATAGAAGAGTTAAGAGGACAGCCCCTGGACCTCAAAAGACCAGGGTTAAAATCCCTGTTTGTCTCCCTCTGATTTTGCCCTCTAGGTGTTCCTCAAAATCTGAGCCTCTGTGTCTCTACTGGAAAACAAAGATAATAACCAGTGGAATTAAGACAGGTATGCAACCCTTGCAAACAGTAAGCCTCAAAAGATGTTGGCTCGTTACAACCATTCAACCTTCAACAACCCCAGGACCCTGGTGTTGGGGGCCCACTTGACCATATGAGAAAAGTGCCTCCTTCCTTCCCACTGTGCTCCCCAAACTGCAGACATTTCCACATCATCTTCTCAATTTTTTCCCAAATCCATGTACCACCTGACTGTTACTTTTCTTAACACTTTTCTTTAAATTGATCACAATTTTTTACTTAAACAAATTTACTTTTCGAAAATGTTATGTAACCGTCGTACATGGAAAACCAGTATCACTTGCCAGAATTCATTTTTTAAAATAGCAATTAAGATAAAAGGCATTTGTCCACCTGAAATCATCTTGCCTACCTCATTTACTTTTTATGGATTCAGGAGGCAAAGAGACTCAGTTTGCAGGGCAGGCGTGGGGTAGGGAGGGCAAGAGGGCCTCATCTGCTTAAAATGACTGAGAAGATTCCTGAGCCGTTCAGCAGCCCCCGTCTGCCCAGAAGTGATTTTCGTCGGTTTAACCAAACGGGCTTGGCAGGCCCTCTATTTGGCAACATCCTGGTAACCAGCCATCTGTGTACCACATGGGCTCCAAAGAGAACTGCATTTAGAAAAAACATATATTCACTAATGGCGACTGTTCACCAATTCAGACACACACTGGCCCCGCTCTTTGGCATGAATGAAGAGAGCCCGCCTCTGCCTCTCAGACAGCAGCTCCAGGACCTGAGATCTAGGAACTCAGTGTCAGGACAGCCCTGGAGCCCAGCTTCAGGGCTGAGCCTGGCCCCTCATGTGTTCCCTAACCATGCAGGGACAGGATAGGAGTCAGAAGAGTAATATGGCATGCCGCATGTACACATCATCAGTTGTATTTCTCTCCAAATCTCTTCCAAAGGGGAACGAAGAAGAGAGGAGGGGAGAATACCTCAAACCCACATAAGAAAAGGACACCTTGAAATCTGTAGCAGAGGGCACTGCAGTATTAAGAGGACCTGGGGGAACAGGCGGTGGGGAGTCAGTGAGTCTCATGTGCACCCATTCGTTCACACAGCAAATATTTACTAAGCACTTCCTATTCCGGGCAATGGGGGACCCAGGAGTGAAAAAGGCAGAGTCCCTGCTCTTAGAGAGCTCACATTCTAGGGGTGGGAACGGTCAGTAAATTGTTTATTACATAACCCAGATAATACCAGTTAATGATAAGAGCCATGGGGCTAATAAATCAAGGTAAAGTAATGATGGCTGGAATGAGCTGCCCAGATTGGATGGCCAGGGGAGTCCTTTTAGAAGAAATGACATCTGAGTTGACACCCAACAATGAGGAAGCACCACTCAATTAAGTCACCATAAACAGCACATGTAAAGGGCCTGGGGCAGGCACAAGCTTGGCATGTTCCAGAAACAGAAAGGCCTTTGCAGCAGAAATACAGTGACCACAGTGAGTGAGAGACAAAGTGGAAGTAAGGTCAGAGAACAAGAGAGAATAAGGCAGGGGATACAGGCCGGCTTCAGAGTTTTAAATTATAATGGAAAGCCTATGGAGAGGTTTCTACAGTGGAGAGACTTGATTTTACCTGAATTTTTAAAACTCCACTCTGGCCACCATAAGAATAGATAAGGAGGACAAGAGTAGGGACACCAAAGAGGAGACAAAAACAGTGGCTCCAAAGAAATCACAAAACCCCTCACATTCTCTCCCTGAACTCTAGGTGTCTAACTTCCCAGGCGCTCAGTAAGGCCTAAAATGGGAAGCTGGCTAAAGGGAGATGTTTGTTCTTTAAAGCAATGACAGCCAACCGGATGGCATTCAAACATCAGACAAGAGAGGCCAAGTAACAGGCCCTTCCACAAAGGGCAGGACCCGGCCACCTCCCAAGAAGAGAACAAGCAGCCATCTGTTCCAGGGCTGGGGAGTAGAACAGTTCCCGCCGTGCACCCCTTCCAGCCTTGGGACTCTGGGACTCCAAGGCCAGGCCTCCAGCGCTCCACAGGCTTGGAACCCCAATCCAGCCAGCTCATAGGCCTGTCCCATAATCTCCTGTGGCAGAAAGCAAGTATCCTCCACGACACCAACCTTCAACCTCCAAGGACAAATCAGTCAACTGCCAACATCACCAAAACAGACAATCAGATAAACTCCAGTGCGAGGTCTTGCCCAAAAAAAAAACCAAACCAAACAAAACAAAACAAAAAAAAAGTGATAGAGCCTCAAAGCTAAATACCGACTTACAATATCATAGGGGACAGCAGAACACGTTAGATGACACCAGGAGATAGCATCCACAAAATCCTACTATGGGCAGCTCCCCAAGATGATCAAATTTCTCCAATAAAGAAATTATAATGAAAAAAAGAAAGTAGCAGTAGAAAATTCATAAGGTGACATATGACCAATTACACTGGATTTTTTGAATCCTGCCAAAAAAAAAAAATTTGAAGGGCATCTGGGTGGCTCAGTTGGTTAAAGGTCTGCCTTCAGCTCCGGTCCTGATCCTGGGGTCCAGAGATCGGGGATCAAGCCCCACATCTGGCTCCCTGCTCAGTGGGGAGCCTACTTCTCCCCCCACTTGCCCCTCCTCACCCATCCTAACCAACCCTCACCACACCACATATGCTCACTCTCAAATAAATAAATAAAATCCTTAAAAATTTTTTTGAAGAACTTATGAGACAATTAGGGGAATTGGAACACTAATTAAATATGATATTAAGAAATTACTGTTAACTCAGGGAGTACAATATGGTAGTGTTCTATTTTCTTAGAAGACTTCTTTAAGGTGTATACCAAAATATGTAAGAATGAAATGATATCCTGTCTGGGATTTACTTCAAAATAATCTTGTGGGGGGGCACCTGGGTGGCTCAGTGGGTTAAGCCTCTGCCTTCGTTCGGCTCAGGTCATGATCTCAGGGTTCTGGGATCGAGCCCCGCATCGGGCTCTCTGCTCTGCAGTGAGCCTGCTTCCTCTTCTCTCTGCCTGCCTCTCTGCCTGCTTGTGATCTCTCTCTCTCTGTCAAATAAATAAATAAAATCTTTAAAAAAATAATAATAATAATAATCTTGTGGGGGAGTGGGTTGGTAAATAAATGAGGTAAGAGTTGACAAATAAATGAGTTGACAATGGCTCAAACGGGGTATCATATTACACTAGTCTCTCTACTTTTGTGCACGTGTGAAATTTTCCACAATAAAAAGTTTAAAAAAAAAAAAAAGCTAGGGATGGACTTTTGCTTGTGCAAGGGACCATGATAATCTTCTCTGTATGATTCCGATTTTAGCGTATGTGCTGCCGAAGCAAGCATGGAGTGAACTTTTCTAATAACCGACAGGGGACTAACCTGCTAGACATTATATCCCTCAACAGAGGAGTGAGATGCATTAGATTCACTGTTCTGCCCCCCCAGAGCCTGCCATGGGGGGTTTGCTGAAATTCATATTTTCCTCCTCACAAACCCCATGGTGAGGGTTGTCTTAAAATAACTACCCCCTGTAAGAAGACGATGTCTTTTCATTTATGCCAACTGACCTCTGTCCAGTTCAGAATGTCACTCTCAAGGGCACACAGCAACATCCGCACCATTTGGAACCTACCTATTTTGATTGTTTCTCTGCCTCAACCCTTCCTACCAATGGTACCTGTTTTCCACCTCAGAGGACAGCACTCCCCCACACCTGCCCATCCACTTCTACATGGCCAAGGTGGGGCTACAGATCTGACCCCAATCTGCCACAGCGAAGAGGAAGCAAGATCTGAAAAGTCAAATCACTTGAAAGGAGATTTCCCACTACAGCAGTCCCCAGAGCGCCATCTGCAATGAAGGCTTCATTCAGGTGCCTCCTTGGAACCATGATCCAATCAATCCCCCCTCGCAAACACACCATTGTTTCTGAAGGAGCCCAAGCAGTGGAGTCCCTGGATGATGGTCAGAAAGAGGCAGAACCTCCAGGTTATCCCACAACTCCCAGACGGAGTCGTCAGGTAAAGGCTGACGAGCACCACAGCCACTTCTCCAGGATGCAAACCGAAGCTGGAGCTTTCAGCAGAGTTCTCGGGACCCACCAACAGCGTGACTGGAGTCTTCTGGTTCCGGGGCCGTTTGAGATACCCGTGTCATTACCATCCTCCCTGGCACACCTGCCTCCCCCAATATGCCAATATATTTCTAAGGAGCCTGGGTTAGGGCAGGAAGATGATAAGGACCCTGGGGGCCATCACTGCAAAGCCACACAGGACCACTTCATCCCTTAAGGCCAACAGCTGGGAGGGTCATCTGCATAAGCTTGTCAATTAAAGGTGCTGGGAAGATGGATGGATGGATCCAGCCTTCTGAGAAGGATAAAGAAGGGGTCTGAGTCTGACCTGTGATGAGGGTTGGGAGGAAGCAGAGACTCAGCAGACCGAACACCCACCCTGGAGTCTGGGGAGCACGTAAGAGAGGTGGGGCAGCTGTAGCCTGCTCCAGCGCACCCCCCACACACACACACACACCCATCCACCCCACCCCCAACCCTCACACCTGGTGCCCACAAGGCAAGGGTCAATAGTGAGCACCGCACTTCAGACGCTTAAAGACAAAGAAACTCCAGATTACAGCAAGCAAAGAAAAGGTCATTTAGCACCAGCAGGAGATCAAGCCCTCTCTCTCCTTGGGTAAGTTAAGTCTGTTGGCCAAAGCAATCAGGATGACAGAAGCCAAAGCAGACTAGGACGAAGGCAGGGGTTGGAGGGCCTCAACGCCTGCTGCATTACAGGGAAGGGCACAATGTGTCTAGGAGGAAGGACAAGATGTCATGAGCCATGAGCAACCTTCCTGTCCTGTCCCCTGTCCCGTACTTCCCTGTGCCTCATGCACAGCTGGTCTGGACTAGTACTGGGGCTGTTGCCACCAGACTCCTTGCCCTGCTCTCCAAGGGCACGAACCCACAGAGAGGCAAACGGGAACAGTTCTGTTCAAACCCCTTCATCCTCACATGGCATTTCACACCTCTCAGGTGCGTTCTTCACCCACATTATCTCCCTTTGGCCTTCTGTATGGACACAGGAACAGGCTCGGGGAGACTACATCAATACTACATGGTCATAGTCAACGGATGAGCCAGGACTGTGCAGGGACCTTCCACCCTACCATACACTCTGTACTCAGAAACAGGAACTGGTCTGAGGCAGCCGCCTGTAGGTCAAGCACACCATCCTTCTCATTCCTCAAAACAGGCGCTGGTGGTCTCAGAATGGCCATCCCCTATCCCTCTGACTTTAGAGGGCTGCCTTAGTCATCGCACCTCTATAGATAAAATGCTGAAGGACAGGGAACAGGAGAGAGTCAAAGTCTAGACGGGAAATGGGGCCCAGACCTGGAGCACCAGGCTCTAGAGTCCTGCTGGTAGCTTTACTGCTAGAAAGGTTTGTCCCCAGCATCAGCCATTCCCTAACATCACTTGCAGGATTTCTGCCACACCCTATACCATTTGTACTATCACTCTTTCAATTAAATGGACTCATCCTTGGGGCTTTATACATTTAATTTAAAGTGATGCTTTATATCACCACCACAAAGACACAAATCAGGACCACTGGCCATGACAAGGAGAGAATTCTAAAAATAAATAGCATAAAAACAACCTAAATTGTAGGCAGGCACTGTTCCCCACTTAAAGGCCCAGAGCCAGAAGTCTGCTTTCTCTTTGTTATGAGAGAGATCAGTAAGTGTTAAGAGGGTGTTAAAGCCAGACTAGCACCAACCTGAAACTTTCCCCTTGAAGAAATCACATGCATTAGTAGAGAACTGAAAAGGGAAGAACCTTCTCACTGGGTGACTCAATGTTATTTCATGCTTAACCACCTGAAGTCATTTCACTGGCTAGTCACCTTAGCTATGGGAAACATCGAATCAGACTGCATCATAGGAGGGGGACAAGAGGGATGGGGGGCAACTACACCACAGAGGCAACCCATGCCAGCTTCTCAAAGTGCTCTAATTCATTGCCCTCCACTCCCCTTCACCAGACATACCCAGCTTCTGGGCAAGCCCAGGGGTCACCTGTCACCACCCAGGTATCTCTGGCTCCACTGTCCTTGTCTTATTTAGCCTTTGCCTAATGCAGAGCACAGCACTAACCACTCCAAACTCCTCTGCAAATCAGGACCCAGCAGAGCCACTGGAGTCACCCCAAATCCTTACAACATCTCTGTGGACAGTCAGCTCTGATGAAGCCCAGTTGCTGGGCACCTTTGGGCTCGTGTACCATGGCAGAGGAGTGAGTGGGTGCCAGCGGGTGTGAGCAGCTCCCTTGGGTCTTGAGGACATCAAGCCTGCAACAAGGGACTGGAGCCCGAGAAGCTGTCCCAGAAGCTCCTTTGCTGGCCCCAAACCCCTACCTCTTTTCCCCACAGGTCAGCTCAAGAGGACAATTTCCAACATCCAGGAGCAAACAATTAGTACAGTAAACCCAAGAAAGGTAAAGACGGAAAGAGAAAAAAAATCCAAAGAAGGGGGAAGGGGGCTGTTAAGCAACCTCCAAACTTGCTCCTCGCCTGCCCGCACTGTGTGCAAGGCAAGCAGATCCCAGCCTGGCGGGCACCTCACAGGCTCAGCCAAGTTGCAGAGAAGCAAACGGCATCTCTGGCGCATTGGGCCACTCGGGTTGAGCCAGGGGCTGTCACCCAGGTCGGATCAACGCTACCCACGCTGCATGCTTTGTCAAGGGAGCTGCGATGGGAAAATAAGAACGAAATGTGCAAACGGGAATGGGGACGAAACACTTGGTGACCCTCTGTTGATGATGAAACCCGAAGGGCCCTCCCAGCCTCCCTCCGACCCAGCCAAAGTCCTGCCTCAGCTTTCTCCCAACAGCCAGTGTCCGGGTCGAAGCTCCAGAGTTGCTCCCCCGACGGCGCACAGAGCAGAGGTTTTTCCCAACCAACTCGGGGCCAAAGGCCCTTTTGGAAAAGTCCATCCCAAAGAAAACGGGGATTTAGCATGAGAGTGGAGGGAAGGGGGAGGCGGCGCTGCCAACCTTTACCTTTTCTCTTTATTCTGTTTTCGCGATTTGTGCAGGAGTCCGATGAGCACCACCGCGGCGCGGATCCCTGCCTTTCGGCAATGCATCCTCCCCGCGGGCTGGGACATGGCAAGGCCGCCGGCGGTGCCCGGCCGCGCCCTCGCCCGCCCGCAGCGCGCCCCCGTTCGCCCGGCTCCGCGCGCTCCACGCCGCCCGCTCCCAGCCCCTGCGCTCCGGTCCCGGCCGTCCGCCTCTCATGGGCCCCGCCCAGCCTAGGTGCGCCCCGGGGGTCAGGTGACCGGGCGCTCACTTCCCGGCGACCTTCAGCGTCTCCTCGGAGCCTGCCGGGCAGCCGGCGCCCGCTCCCCCAGCGCAGGCATTTCCAAGGCTCGCTCCGGGCGCGGCCCGGACGGGCGGCTCCGGGGCTCCGGCTCCGACGCGCTGCCCGCGCCGGGACCCCGCCCCGGCCCCGCCTCCCGTGCCCCGGCCCGGGCACTCGGGCTGCGGGCGGTGCAGGCGGCCCGGCCTCGAGCGGAGGGAGGCGGCCCGCTTGCGCTCAGCGCCCCGGGGGGCTCGGCGCCGCGTTCGCCCTCTGCTCCGCGCCCGGGCTCCTTCCCTTCCTCTCCCGGCGGGCAGCCGCCCGCCCCCCCCTTCTCTCGCCGCTCCCTCTCCGTCCCCTCCTCTGCGCTCCCCCGTCCCCGCCTCCGCTGGCGGGGCCCCGGGCTCCCTCCCCAGGCAAAGGCGGCTGACGCGCTCTCTCCCAGCCCGGCCCGCCGGGATAGTTCTCCAATGCTGTCACTGCCTTTAAAACACAGGGAGAAAAAACATCCACCGAGACGAAACGCGTGTCCTCAGTCCGTGCGAAACTGCCTTCGCACAAGGGCACCGCCGCCGGCCTCCCCCGGCCCAGGGCCAGGCGGGTAGAGAGGGCACCCAGCGCCCAGCGCCCGCCCTCCCCGGCCTGAGGCGCCCGGGCGTTTTGACTCAGCGGAATGCTACCTTCTACCTTTCCCCAAGTCCGGGAAGCGGATGTCCTGGGAGGCTGGAGGGGGCAGGAAGGGACTACTCCAGCAAGGGCGGCGCTACCTGAGCTGGAGTCAGTCCCCCGTTAACCTTTGTTTCCCCTGCCCTGGAAGCCTGACACACCACCCGGTCAATGATCAATTTCACCGAGGCTACACCTCTGCCTGGCGTCCCAGGTTGCCAGGGAACCAAGGGGAGCCCCCACCCCACCAGCACCTCACAGACACCCCGCATCAGTTCTTCCCTTCCTCCCGCATACCCCATGCAAGCTTCATCTTCA